TGGAACATATATATAAAGCCATTTTTCCATTATGGACTGTTGCAAAAATCGAACATTTAATGCAGACAGTTGGCCACGGCAGTGAGGCTGTCAGTTTCTTGTGTTAGTTGTTAATTGGGTCCGTTTCTCGGTTGCTGGCCTTTTTGCTCCCTTCTTGCTGAGTTTGGTTGGGGCTGTCCCATTCTTTGTAGCTGGTTCGTTGTTTTCATTTTCAATATATTAATTGATTTACCCAATAAAAATTGAACCTTTATTTGTTGTTCTTTGCTGAATGTGGCACAAATGAAAAACAAATAGAGTTAGGAGATGGTTTGTAAAGCCAGAGCAATTACAAGGGAACTGCAGAAAAGCAATTACAAAGGGACTGTAAAAAAAACCAAGACAGTAGCTCTAACGGAAAAGGAAGATAGTTTCGTATGACAGTTTTCGCTATACGGATATGTTTTACGGATTATGCGTCCAAATATTTGCAAATGTTTGTATTTTTCATTAAAGTGATATTTCTATATATTTGTTTGCTGGAAAGGAAAAGAAGGAGAATATGTAGTTTCAATGTACTAAATCCAGTCATGTTCGCCTACATTGCTGCAAGAGACAAGAAGTCCCCTATTCTTCAATTGCTGGACAAAACAAATTATTTACTCATATATTAACAAACTTGTATTTAATTAGTTTTTGTACTGCTTCCGTGGTTGTATACTACTCTTATAGTTCCCATTTTTCCTTTCTCGTTTTCTTTTCCATTAATATCATGGACAGGTAGTTGAAGAGTGTGATGTAATCATTTTCGCAGTGAAACCTCAAATACGTACGCCTTCTTTCGCTTGTTTTCGTTTCCCGTCCATATTTGAATATGAAATAATTTGACATGCATTCTTATTAACGCTCTGTTGATCACTGATAATCCTTATTAAGTTTTATCTTTTTTTTATTTATCATAAACTGGATTGTTGGATATGCAGTTAAGGAAGTAATCTTGGATTTACGGCCACTACTTTCACAAAATAAACTTCTTCTGTCACTTGCTGTGGGACATAAATTGCAATCTCTACAGGTTTGTATAGATGACCACTATATGAAATTAACGACTTGTTGCATAAGTGCTTAATAATAGAATCTCAATAATGTTAAAGGGTGACGACAGAACTTCTCAACCAATTCATTACAAAATGATGATTTCTTAGGTTCATGTCCTCTGACTCTAGATTCACTCTTAGCCAATCATTGAGTCTCCATGCTCAAAGCATATTGTGATATTTAGACAATTCCTTTCCGGTTAAAATTCATCTTCCCAGTTGACTCTGTGTAGATGTTATCATCAATCACAATGGGGTCTGTCTACTTTGTCAATTGCTATACAGGTTTAATGGAATATCTTCCAGCAACTTAATATTGGAAAACATATGCATTTTATCTATGATATGAAGGTTAAGAGTTGTTTTTCATTTGATACAGGCTGATTTTCACTTTGATAGCAAACATTATTCATTATTATGGAGTTATGCAGACGCTCAACATTATTCATTAGGTTGTTCATGAATACTCTCTGGAAGATTTCAGTTATCTGTTACACTGCTACAATTTATTCTTTTGAACTGGTACTGTTACAATTCGAAAGTCCTGTTTCCTTGACCAATTCCAAAAATACCTTAGTTATCAAATCTATTATGTTCGTGTTGAAGTGTCATTTTGGTTTATTTTTACTAAGGTAAGGATGAATCAAATATCTAGTGAGTAAAAGCGGTGGTCATCATAGACGGAAAAGTAAGCCAAATTAGATAGAATCATGTTTGCTTACAAATTTTCTTATGTTCTATCCATTACCAGAAAAAACGATACTTCAATGCAAACATTTCTACTCTTTCCTCTGTGTCCTTGAGCTATCTGTTGGTAGCGTTACTGTGATATGCTTGAAAAAGTTTTCAAAGATTGTTAATTTACAGTCAAGTTCCTGAACTTTCATATTTTTAATACTTATTTGTTCAAAGCTTCTATCCAGGAATGGGTCGGTCATGGTCGGTTTGTTAGAGTAATCCCTACTACTGCTTCTGTCATTGGTGAGGCAGCTACTGGTAACAACTAATTCCTTGTTCTCACATTTATTGTGTTATACTGAAAGAAATGCTTTCTACATCTGAATTATTTAACTTCACTGCCGTTTGGCCATGTTTGGGACTGTGATTAACTGGTTTATGTGGTAGGATTGGATTGCACTGGATTACATTTGATTGGAGAGGATAGCTAGTCCAATCCTATGTTTGACAACAACGGAGAACTAATATACTTAAATTAAACAGTTATGCACTTGGGAGAAGCTGCAACAGAAAACGACGGAGAGCTAATAGCAGATCTATTTGGAGCTGTTGGCAAGGTGTGGAAAATGGATGAGAAATTGTCTGATGCTGCTGCTGCTGTCGGGTACGTACATGTCTTTGCTATCATCAAAGATAAACATAATCACTCATGTAAACTGGGTAGCATATTGTTGCTGCCGCTGTATCATTCCTGTTCTAAATCAAAAGATAAAACATAATCACACTTGTAAACTAGGAAGTATCTGGTTACTGCTTATGTATATCATTAGAGTTTGGAAATGCACCTGCTCTTGCACTTACACATCATTCTGTGTGCACATATGTTCATCTGTCAACATATATTTAGAGGTACATTTGACAAGCTCTTCTTTTTATTTCTATGGGCACTTTATGGAGTACTAGACACCATAGATGTGTCCTCTCGCATACGCTTCTCTTTCAATTTTCAAAAAAGAAAAATACATCAATAGCTGTTCACCATAGTTAGTGGCTTTTTGTTTGGATAATTTTGCAGCGGTGCTGGTACGGCATTTGTATATATAGCAATAGAAGCTATGGCTGATGGAGGTGTAGCTGCAGGCTTACCACGAGAAATTGCTTTGAGTCTTGCTGCTCAAGCTGTAAGTGGAAACTGTTATGTATATCTTAAGAATCTAGTGGTACGTTTGTATAACCCCTCACTAGAATGTATGTTCTGTGAATCCAAAGTAGAAGTCTGAGCTTTTTAGCTATCTCATTTAAGGCCTTGAATTGTTTTCAGAAGCATATATC